GTGAGTTGATTTTTGTGAGAGGTGAAAGGTGTGGATCCTGCTTCAGTCTTCTACATGTGAGTGCCAGGAGTTTTAATAGAAGGTTGCTGCAGAAACACTCCTTACAATGAAACTTGAACATTAAAGGATCATGCTTGGAACTGATCCCATCTCTAAAGAAACCCATCTTTTAAATAAATTTCACAAGTGAGTTGTGAAATGAAGGTCAGAATATACATCTTGGTGGCTTATCAACGCTAATGATGTACAGGCCATCCTTCTATACCCTCCAGGGATCAGTGAAAGATCAATGCTGAGTGGTGAACTAGGTGTGACTGGGTGCATGAGCAAGCAGCTCTGATATCTCCCCGCACATGTCTGGAGACTTCCTGGGCAGTTGATGTTTGCTCTTCTGCTCTCATCCTATCCCTGAATATAATGAGTGTCTAGATGGTGCTTCTTTACTGTGCTGTGTGTTACCCAGGGATGTAAGTCTGTATGGCAGAAGGTATATATAAGGATGTGAATCAACTGGGCCTCTCTTCTTGGAGTGATCAGTGTTACTTGATGGCAAGTAATTTGAGCATTATTTACATTAACTAATTAGCTGTTATTAATTTTAATTGAGTTAATATTTAAATTTTCTTGTCTATATTTAACAAGCATTGCTATTTTATGAAATAGAATCTTCAATGTACAATAATTTTTAAATGACAAACCACATGACATCCAAGAAATTTTGGGTTTGCAGCAGGCCACCTTCATTTCTTCTCCCCTGCCCTTGGGGGTCCTCTCATGGAAAGCTGTTGTGAAGCACAGGCACTTCCACTTAATTAAGAGTGGGGGGGATGGGCATACATGAGGCTGTCATCGAGGATGTTAAGGCATGGTTGTGAAATGAGGTCAGCATGAGAATGGTTTGGGGTAGGTTTGCAAACACACACTGAGCTTCATCATTTCCAGGCACAGCTCATCATCTGTGCTTCTCCAAAAAAGTCCTGCACTCCTACTACCTTTGTTCTGTTGCCCTCTCCCTGGGGGTGCTGTTATGGGCTGAATTGTTCCCCCTAAAATTTATATGTGAAATCCCTAACACCCAGAACCCGAGAATGTGTTTATATTTGAAGATAGGAACTTCATAAAGTAATTAAGTTAAAATGAAGTCATTAGGGTAGGCCCTAATCCAATATGACTGGTACCTTTATAAGAAGAGGAAATTAGAATGCAGAGAGAGAGAGAAGAGACACCAGACACATGGGACGCAGAGGAACACACGGAGAACATGGCCATTTATAAGGCAAGGAGAAAAGTCTCAGAAGAAACCAACCCTGCCAACATCTTGATCTTGGACTTCTGGCTTCCAGAACTGAGACAATCAATTTTTGTTGTTTAAGCCCCCTAGTCTGTGATACTTTGTTATGGCAGCCCCAGCAAACTAACATAGGTGCTTTCAGCCCTAAATACCATCTTTTATTGACTATTCAAACAATAAACCTTCAAGTTCTATTGCCCTCATAAGATTTTTAAATATTTTTCAAGATTTAATAAATGGATGAATGGATAAAGAACTGTTTGGACTGGAGCTTTTCAGTAAACACACAAATCTAAAGCAAACAGAGATCTTCATTCTCTTGCACAAGAATTTTTGGTCAGATGGGGATCTGCTTCATAGAGGTAGCCTTTAAGCATCTTATGAGTCTCATTTTCAAAGGCAAAGGTGAAAACTCCAAAA